CAGACCACCAGCGGGCAGATGCTCTGACCAGTATGTTAGCATGCTGCTGGGGTCTGGAGGATCAGGATTGGGCAAGAAGGGCCTGCATGCCCTGGAGCCCTCTCAGAGTCCCTCACCAGCCCCAATCATGTACCCCTGGAGTCCCTCGACCTGGCCTGCATCGTTTCACAATCTGGGACCTTTTTGGGGATGTTGAACTGCCAGTTTCAGCCCAATCCCCACAGGCCAGAATCTGTGCACTGGGCCTCTAGTAAATTAATAAACAGATGAAGAAGTTCACTGGCTGAGGTCTGGGAGGATCCCAGTGCCAGAGCCTCCATCCCCAAGGTGTTGGTATGCACATGCTCCCAGTACCTGGAGTTTTCACCAACCCAGAAGCTCCTCCCACAGGTTGTCCCAAGTTTTGTATTTGTATTTGTTCCATTACCTGAGCATTTTTAATTGAATCATGGGCCATTTGGTGACTGACTCAATTCCTAGCCTCACTGCTCTCCCTTGGAGTTCAGAGGGTAGAGCTATCTAGAGGTGCCAAGAATCACCTCATTAGCATAAACGCAGGTGTGGCTGGAAGGGGCTCATTCTGAATAAAAAGGTTACTCCTATCACTCTAATTCTTGAGATAATTACAAAGCTTATCAGAGTTCTGTGCCAGATATATATTTTCCTTATATCACCATGGCACATAGCAGAAAGTAGTGTTATTTGTTCTCAGTTGTTCATAAATGTGTGCGTGCAAGTACTTCTACTGGATATGGACATAACAGTTATTTCTTACTATGGATTATGGGGGAAATTATTGAAAAATTCTATCATGCAGACACCCCTTCCCCCAACCCCACCAGATTGCCCTGGAAACCCTGATGCCCAAGCATGCCCGGGAACAGAAGGGTGGATGGTTCTCGGGTACTTCCTACCCTTTCTGAACCTCCACATTCTGGCTCCTCCTACAGTGTGCAGGGTCTGATTGCTGTCATGAATTCTGCTTTTTATATATATTTTAAGTTTAAAAGACACTTTACTAGGAGAAACATTATACAGTATTTATAAGGATTTGTGTCCTTGTGTAGGGGTTCTACTAAAACAGGTGAACATATTAAGAAAGCCCTGATAAAAAATGATCTTAAGAGGAAGGAAAAGCATCTTAGGAAAAGTAACACTGAACTAGATCTTAAACGATGAGCAGGCCCCACGAGTGTTAAAGAAAAACATTCTGACAGTTATTAAATAGGTAAGAACAACTTTATTCAAGTGGGATTATTGTGATAGGTGTGGGGACCCTGCAGGGGGTTTTGCCGTGGGGAAGAGATTGGACTCAACTCCAAGTACAACCATGAAAAGTGGGAACTTATAGCCAGGGAGTAGGTTTGGGGTCAGCGGATGGATACTTATCAAGAGTCAGAGGGGATTCTTGTAAAGGTACCCAACAGGGTTCTCTCTGAAGCAGGCCAGGGTAATCAGACATCACCTGGGGATGGTAAACACTGAAGGAACTGATTATGGAGAGTGATCAGGTAGGGAGGAGGGAGGATTCTGGATAAAATTATTTAGCAGCATTCTTGCTAAAACTGGACAGTTCAGAGATGAACACAGAAGTCCAAAAGTCACTCATTGAAAAAGTGATCAGAGAACCCTGGATAGAGGTCTTTGTCTTTATTCAAGACAAAGCAAGGCATCTGCTTTTCTCCTTTTCTCCCTATTTCTTAATATAATCATGCAACTTCATTGATAACCTGAAAATTCAGCCAGATACTGGGCCAATCAATACAATATCAGTCTGTTTAGCTGTACACCTGCATTGGTATTTTGTTGCAGGTATAATTGTCCTGAGAAGACAGCCCCAAAGCTAAGACTGAGGTTGAGCCAGGACAATAGAGAACCAGTTCCTTGACATGAAAGCCTTTAAAATAGACACTCAGATCTACTGGTCAAGTCCACAGACCAGAAGAGAGAAAACCAGGTGTCTTGAATTGGTGACTGTGTAAACAAACTTGGAGATGGCAGTGTGTGCAGAAGGTTTATTGGAGAGAAATATCTCCAAGACCATGGGGAAGTCAGGAATGGCAGCGGGGAAAGTTGATTCACAATGTGGCTGCAACTGAGGCCTTGGCCAATTCAAGGGGAGCTCTGCATTTGGAAGCTTTGCAGCCAGTCATTGACTGTGAGCTCTACCTCAGGAGGCCATGTAACCTTTGTGGAAGCAGGTCCCAGTAGTGCAGCCACTGGCAGTTCTCAGTGAGACAGGCAGCCATGAACAATATTCCAAGAGCTAGGAGATAGATAGGTAGATCCTGAAAGGGGCACCTGAACACTGCGTCCCTGGATCTAACACAGCTCTGGGTTCAGTTGACACAGCTCTGTGTTCCTAATTCAGATGTGGCTTCCCCGTGAGCTGGCCTGGAACACACCCGAGCTGCCTGACATAATTTTTTTTTTTTTTTTTTTTTTTTTTTTTTTTTGCCACGGCTAGACTAAATACACCTCATGGGATTCCTTTGCTGTCAGGACACAGAATTCAAATGGATATGAAGAATAGAAAAAAGGCCTCCCAGACAGGGAGATACACCAAACCCCTCACCCCAGCAGAAGAGATATACCAAAGGCCAATCCAGAAAGAAGACAACAGGCCGCGAAGATGACCAGCTCCAGAGAGAGCTTAGGAAAAATCACCTATCATTTCTGGATGCCCAGAGACCATTTCCTCCTCTGATGGTGACATCATCTTGACTTTCCTTTGGAGAACCATTATTCCTTTCCCTCCATCTGCCTCTGAGTTTCAGAAGGACTGACCCTTTCCCTTCACTCTGTACGTGGCCAGTGAACCAGTCCTGGCAACCAGAGTGATGCATTCCTAACCCTGGGACTGGCTTAGAGCTCAGTGTGTGACCAAAGCTGAGCCAACTGAAGCCGATGAGCATCAGCCCGGCATGCTTACTGGAGCCATTGTGAACAAGGGATTCTTTTTCTGCTGGGGTTGCTGAGAGAACAGACCATCTGCCTAGAGCTGTGAGTGTCTGTATATCTCCTCCTGGGTGGAATCCATCTGAGAACCAGGCCAGCAAAGAGAAGCAAGGAGCTCAGAGGGAGGGAGTGGACAGGTTCCTGTGGCACCATTTGAGCACTGGATTCCGTCTACCAGAAGGTGTCTTATCAGACCCATCTCTGAACTTTTCTGGTGGTTAAGTTAGTAGATGTGAATTTTAAATTAATCCCTTAAATTGTCTTACCACTTTCCACCAAAAGAATTCAGACCTACATCACATGACACCTGAAAGGAAGATGATGCTCTCACCAACTCCTCCCACAATCCTCTCTGGCCTCATCCACCCCAGCCTTTCATTCTTTGTACCAGCAATCCTCCTACTCCTCAGGGCAGTGAGAGCAGGGAGGGGCCTGCAGCCTACTGAGAAGAGTTAGGGAGGCAAGGAGATTTGAATGTGGCCTCTCACAATAGCCTGGGCAGACAGAATGGAGGCTGAGGGGGAACGGAACATGCAAAACTGTAGAGAGACTTTTTCTCTGTTCTCGCAGGTTCTGTGGCCAGGCCCACCTGAGACTTAAATAGAGAAATGACAGATTAACAGGAGAAAAGCAAAGGCTTTACTTGATGTTAATTGTTTCCTTGTACAAACAGGCCTTCAGATATAATGAAAAGTCAAAGAAGTGGACAAGCTTGAGAGCTTAGATAGCATTTCAACAAAGAGGGATAAATTGTGGCTATGGATGAACATCTGGTTGTTCCTTTACATAATATCTTTTGTAATAACCCAGTAATCTAGTAAGTAAACTATTACCAGAACAGGAAAAGGGGATTTGGCGAGGGTGGTGGGTTGAGAGAAAGTGGCTAGGAAACTGATGGGGAAAGGTATGAGAGATAAGGATGACTTTAGTAGGTTTATTTATACAGATTCATCTCAACGTTAACTCTCCATCTCTGGTGATAAGCTTCTTTTTTTCCTGGCACAGGGAAAAGTTTGGTCCTTATTCCTGGCTAAGAGCTCCCAAAACGTTATCAGTGTTCTAAGCAACAGGAATAACGGGAGCATCTTTTGTCATAACACGTGGTCTTTAGTCTTCAGGTCTTGCAATCACTGCAGAGCCATAATGGCAGAATGATTTCATAAAAGCCCCTTCAGCCACGACCGAGTCTATATTAATGAGATGACTTTTGGAAATTTCCTAAAGGCTGGGGGGTGGGGGGAGGGCGGAGGGAGGAAGAAGGGAGGAGAAAAAGGGGCTATTTCCCAGAGGAACTAGCCATGACTAGAGAGTTGTAGTTTCAGTCCCAAGCATTCACCACTGGCCAATGATTGACTCAATCATGCCTGAGTAATAGAATATCCAAAAAGAGGGTTCAGGGAGCCACTAGGTTTGTGGACCTGAACCAGTCCAAGGGCTGGGCCGCAGCCTCCACCCATGGATGGGCCAGAAGTTTCTTCGTCCCATTTCAGACCTCACCTGGTGTATCTCTTCATCTGGCTCTTTAGCTATGCTTTTAATATCTTTTATAATAAACCAGGACTCTACTAGGTGAACTGATTTCCTGAGTTCTGTGAGCTGCTCTACCAAATCCATAGATGCCCAGGAGGGGGTTCGTCAGAAGCACTGGTGGCATCTGAGCTTGCCATTGGCCTCTGAAGGTGGGGAAAGGCAGTCCCTTAAGACCAAGCTGTCTCAGGGTAGATAAAGTGAGAAATGCATTTAACTGCAGGGCACCCAGCTGGTGTAGAATAATTGCCTGGTGGTGTGAAAAAACCTGCATCAGAACTGGTGTCAGAATTCTACTTTTTCATGGGAAATGTATGGTCCTCGGTTAGGTAGGAAGGGGAGGTCCATGAGCCCTCCTTGACCTGATAATTCTCAATTGCCTTCAGCTTGAAACACCTGATGTACAGCATATCGTGTTTTGTGGTGCGTGTTCTGATCCCCTCACAGCAATGAAACGGGCCCCACCTGCCGCACCAAGCACACCTGAGGGGTGTTTCCGAGAGGCACAGGAGCAGGCACCATGGTTGGTGTAAGGTTTGAGGAGCAGAAAACTAACCACCAAGACATTTCAAAGTAAAGTTTATTCCCTAGTAATGAGCGGGACTCATTATGGACATAGAGAAATCAGAATTGAAGGAGTGGGGAGGGGAGAAAGGACCCAGCAGGACTGCCTCCAGATAGACATGAAGGGAAGGCAACACATGGCTGGTCTGGGGGTCTTTTTAAGGGGAGGAACAAGAGAGGGTTGGACCCAGGGCGAAACAGGAAGGGGTGGGCTCTAGGGCACTTTGAAACAAGCTGATTGGTGGTTCAATGTCTTTGGGATGTCTCTGTGACAGATGCCAGTAATGTCATAACTCCGCCCACCAGTTGGGGGGAGGGAGAATTCTACAGTTGGCAGGAGGTACTCCAGTGTGAGCTCCCTGCATCACTCCTGCTCTGCCACCCAGCTGTGTGGCCTGGGACATTTTGTATCTCAGTTTTCTCCACCATAAAACAGGAATAAAAGTGACACTCACCTCATATAATTGCTCTGAGGAGAAAATTTAGAGTGTGTATAAGGTGTTTAAAAAGTACCTCACACATACCAAATACAGAATTACTATTAGCTGGTATAATTTTTATTTGCACTTATGTAATAGGAGTGGAAAAGCAGACATGAGTTTGCAAGTCCCCCTTACTATGTGAGGGGGGGCTGGATAGCAGCCCCCAAAAGGTGTCCATGTCCTACTCCACAGAGCCTGCGAAGCTATCACCTCATGTAGCAAAAGGGACTTTGCGGAGGCAATGAAAGTGAAGACTGGGAGCTGAGATTAGCCTGGGTTCACTGTCTCCCTCTCACTCTCCCTTCCTCTTTAAAAATCAATAAAAATATATTTTTATTGATTTTTAAAGAGGAAGGGAGAGTGAGAGGGAGACAGATGCATCAATGATGGGAGAATCATTGATCAGCTGCCTCCTGCATGCCCCACACTGGGGATCAAGCCCACAATCCAGGCATGTGCAATGACCAGGAATCAAACCATGACCTTCTGGTTCATAGGTCGAGGCCCAACCCCTGAGCGACACTGGCCAGGCCATTACCAAGTCTTAAGAAGCAGGAGTTAGGGCCGGAGATGTGAGGACTGAAGCAGAGGCCGGAGGGATGTCAGCACATGGGCCAGGCCAGCAGGAGGCATTGGGAGGTGGAAGAGGTTCCTGTGGAGCCTTGAAGGAACCTGGCCCTGCCAGCCCAGTGTAGACCCTGGCCCCTGAGCTGTCAGGGAAGGAGTAACTGTGCTGTGAGAGGCAGCAGCATGGAGAAGTCTGTCACAACAGCTAAAGGAGAAGGGAGATTGAGAAAGTTCAGAGGCCACTGGGACAGGAGTCAGTTCATGAAGAGGAGTCTCCCCCCACACCCCGGGGAGGTCCGCTGTCCCATGTCCTGACCCGGGACTGATCCAGGGGCACCTCTGTGAATCTCATCTAACAGCACGCAGAGGGGACACAGCGGGTGCATGTGTGAAAACACACCTCAAGAAACTTGAAAGGAAATGTTTTCAAAATGAAAAGACCCTCAATGTCTCAAGCTCTAAATCTCCCAGGGAGGAGGGCAAGAGCACAGGTTCTGGTCTTTACAGGGAACCCGGCCCAAGGGCCTCACTTGGCAGGGAAGGCAGGGGAGGCCCAGGGAGGAGACTGCCCAGGTCACCCTGGCTCTGCCCAGCAGGGTCCCAGCAGGCTCCTCTGGTCCCACAGTGCCTCTGTGGCCCAGCAGCCTCAACAGCGCCTGGACGCCTGTTAGAAAGGCAGTTTCTTGGGATCAGAAACTCAGGGAGAGGGCTCAGCTGTCTGCCTTCTAACACAAACTCCACTCCCCAAAGCACCCCAAACCATTCAAGTTTGAAGCCCTGAGGGGCAGACTTTTCCTCCCCTTTCTGAGTGACTGGTCCCTGTGAGGATGGCTCAGGCCAGCAGCTCTCCCCAAGAAAAATACGCAGACCTCTGCACACAGTTAGGAGGGCGGGGAGGGGGTGGAGATTGATGTCAAAAGCCTCCAAGAAGTTCATTTAAGAAAAGTCTGAAGTCTGAAGCATCCATGAGAGGCTGAGAGCACAGCTCCACCTACAGACACATAGGCTCCTTCAGGGACTACGGACCCAGACTCCACACAGGCCCACGAGCTCATCCATTTAATTCTGTAGAGGGCATTGCACCATGCAGCTCCCAGCAGCAAGGCAGGTCCTCCAGCCTGGCCTCCAGGCTTGCACTGTCCTCTCTCCTCCCCCAATCCCCAGGCCTCCATGGCATCTCTCAGCACCACACACCTCCCAGAAGGGAAAGGTGCTGGAAGCCAGTTCCAGCATGTCATCATTGCAAAGAGTTTCATCAAAAGGTTGATGGAACGTGGGGATTCAACAAGGGCTGAGTCACATATGTTATCTATAGCCTGTGGGAATGGCTAAAGGCATTTCCCAAAATCTGAAAAGATTTGAATAGATGATTGTTTGCTTCCAAACAGCTCAGGACATCTTAATCTACATGTTATTGCCTCCTACTGGCCAAATACCTGAACAGCTGTAGGCTATTCTCCAATCTGACAATGCTTCTGTACCAAACTCTACTCTTGGAAGTGTGTATCTCCACCTTGCTTTAGGACAAATTGTGTTAATAAAAAGCAAGGGGTCCTGAAACAAGGAGAACTTAGCTCCTTTAGCTAAAGCTGCTCTGACCCCTAATGTCTTTCAAAATTATCTTTCATCTCTGGACTCTTACTTCAGTTACACACAACCTTTCTCCAGATTGCTAATCCCTTTTCAATGCCAGAACAAGAATCCCAGCAGGAAGAAGCATGGCCTTGCAGGTGGCACTTTAAACCTTCCCATAACAATATGTTTTTGGAAATCAAAGTCCAAATTCAAGAAGGTAGGAAATGGGTTCCCTCTGTTCTGTGAAGAACAAAAGGCGCAGCACCCCCTTTTCACCACTAGAGGACGGTCACAGAGACAAATGCCCAGACAGCCCAAGGTTCCTAGGCGCCCAAATTTGACTTCCCACGAATCTCCTTTTTGGCCCACAAAGAATTTATAAATGTTTCCAGGAAATCTCACATAAAATATAGATTTTCAGATTCATTTGCATAAGGAAAGATCTGGCACTGTCTGGCCCTGTGTGTCTCAGGGGACAATGCTTGGCTGGAGCAGAGCTGCCCCTTCAGGGAGGCATCTGGACCCTGCCCTGCCACACTCCACCCCCTGCTAGGACTCATCCTCCTCCACCTGCTGGGCCTTTGTGAGCCTGGACTGCTGTCTAGCAGCCCAGCACCACCTACGAGGGCAAGGGCGCTGGTGAGAGACACAGGCGGCTTTAGGCACTTATTCAGAGCAGCAAAATGAAGGCTGAGAACTGACTGCATACATTTTCTGTCCTAACATTTTATTCTTCCCTTTGGCCTTTCCTGTCCACAAACCCAGGTCTCTCCTCTTGTCCAAAGCTGGGCGAGGTGCCTGCAACATGTGTCCCACAGCACACTAAGAGCTCCTGTCACAGGGCTCATCACGCTCCCTGCACCCGGTTTATTCTGTCGTCACCTTTAGTTTGTAAATTCTGTGAGGTCAGGAATGAAGATGATATTCTGACTCCTCAAAGGAATTCATTAACTAGGGAGGGAGGGAGAGGAGGAGGGAGGGAGGGAAGGAAGGAGAGAGGGAGGGAATATGGGAAGATGGGAAGGAGGGAAGATGGGAATGAGGAGGAAAGGAGTGCAGGAGGAGGGAAGGAGGGAGGGAGAAAGGAAGGCAGGAGGAGGGAAGTAGGGAGGGAGGAGGGAAGATAGGAAGGAGGGAAGAAAGAGGGAAGGGTTTACTCAAACACAGCGCTGCTGAAACCTGAATGGGCACCAGGCCCCAGAGAGGACCTGGGCAGAAGAGCCAGCTTCCCCTCCCCCACCACCACCACACCTTTGCTGGGTGAAGCTGGTTGGAGGGGGGGGGGGGGGGGCAGGGTGAGGGACCTGAGTCTGCACTGCAACAAGTTCTTGGCTAATGCTGCTGCCTGGTCCTGGACCGCATTTTGAAAGCCTCTGCTCTTCGTGAATCTTTTTCAAAATACCAGCTTCCAGAGTTTACAGACTTGTAATAAATTTCTCATGTCTGTCTTTTTGTTAGCATTTATCAGGTGCTCAGCACGCAGCAGCTCAGGAAAGAATGGCTTCTGCCAGGCCTGCAGTGCTCCTAGGAAAAGGAGGCCACAGACCTGCCTCTACCCGGAGTCCAGGCCCCCAGAGGACAGGGCCCTGCGTGTAACACGGGGAGTGCACTGCTCTTCCCCAGCCATGGCTTTCTGGCCACAAAGCTGGAGCCATGCGGGAGGGGAGGAGCACGTGGTCCTCAGCCCTGTGGGTCAGACCAGAGGGTGTCAGCTGGGGCCGCCTGCTGCCTCCCACCTGGGACCAGGGGAAGCGCAGGCCTCCCAGGGGCACTAGCAAAGGACTTTCCTGAGATGTGCGTGGAGGAGGAGGCATCTTTATTCCCTGGCAGTGAAGCCCTGGGTTTTAAAGTCTCCTGTTCCTGGGTCTGGCCACTCGAATGTGCATCCTGCCCTGAGCAGGCCTGGAATGTGGGCCGCTGCCCGGAGTTCCCACTCCGCACCAGAGCGCTGCCCAGGCTGAGGGCCCAGCTGCAGCCCATGCGTGTGGGGCCACAGGACCAGGGGCCATGCGGCAGCTGAAGGCCACGTGGCTATGATGCCAGGACGGGCCAGTGGAGGTCAGGGAGCCAGCGGGCAAAAGCCAATCAAGAGCGAGAATTCTCTGTCAGTTTAACCCCTGAGTCCTTCAAGAGTCCACAGCCTCACAGTGGCTTCACTGACCCCCACCATCCCCATCCCTACTCCAGCCAATGACTTTTCTCCCAGGTGGACTCTAGGCAAGCCCTTTCCATAGGTCACCTGTGCCCATCCCCCCCTTTGTTGGAGCCCTACCCTGGGTTACCTGCAGGGAAGGGGCTGTGGCTCCCGGGGAGCATGAAGTTGCAGCTTGCAGATGAAGCT